TGATTCGATTGCTAGAATGGCTTTATCATTTGAAGAGTTTATCCGTGCTGATACTAAGAACCTTGATCCAGCAGAGGTATATGCTGAAGTACAAGCAGTACCAGGTCTTAGTGAAAATGAACAACTCAAAGCATGTGCTTGGCTGATAGAAAATGACAAACAATTTCAGATGCTGAAGGCACTCCCAATTAAGAAAAAAAGAGAGTATGTTGCTGATGTTTATTGCACGTGGGGAGTGATTTGGTTTGCTAATATGTTCTATTTGTTTAAGTTGAGTTATTTAGTTCATCAAACGATATGTTATTTTATACTTCGAGGAATACCTTCTATGTCGGTTATCAGTTTTTTTTTCTTTCGAAATATTTAATTTCTATCATTTATAATTTACATGAGATATCCAAACATTGAAATTTTCAATTTCTGTCATTTACGAAATCCGACATGCATAAATCCAAACACTGAAATCTTCAATTGCTAGAAATTGAAATGACGGAAATCTAATTTCCGTCATTTTAGAATTCTATGTAATTGGCAATTCCTTCATCCAAACGGACCATAAGAGTGGTATTTACTATTTACCTTGTTTAATTTTTTTTTACCCCTCCCACTTTAATTTACTATGCAAGCATGTGACAAATACAAGTGGTGGATCACCGATAACACCAACCAGATTTTGTACTTTTTTGACTTTCTTTTGTGACTAAGACCCCTTTCATATGCTACTCAAGGAAATATCACAAATAAAGTTAAATTTCCCGGCAGAAAAGAAAGTTTGGAGTTGTTATTTTATTTTATTTATATTTAAAGAATTTAAATAATGACTAAAGGAGGGGCTCTAATATTCTTCTCTTCATGATATTATCCATTGATTAAAAAGAATTGTATAAACTACTACACATACAATGATGGTTTTGCGTACGTAAGAGTTTGAATTAGGGATGGAGGCCCAATATGACTTGAAGGCCTTTATAGGAAAAGTAAGAAATCAGGAAATTTAGGTATATAAGAATTAAGGAATTAGGTAATATAGGAATATGAGAATTTAGGAATCGGGTTTCTGATTTGCGATGGTATTCATTTATGAATTTTAATGTGGAATCCAAATTTTTTAGATTTATTATGTGTTAGTAAATATTTGTTTTTTTTTTTCTTCTTAAAATGAGTACTGGAATGATTCTAATTTATCATAAATAAAAGATTATGTGGGTTCCACATTAAAATATATACTCAAAGACTTGAAAAAACATACAATAATTGATTTGGGGAGTAGTTGATCTCATACCTATTCAATCTCTCCAGCATCCCGTACTTTCCTAATTCATAGCTTCCCGCAAGACTACAATTTTTATTATTATTTACGACAGGAAACACACACACATACAAGATTTTCCTTCGATCATGGAAAACTTTTATTACTATACAAGAAAGCCAACTCAAGACTACGATGTTGATTGGTGTATATATATATATATTAATCTTATGTTTCTTTTTTAATAAAAAATTATATTTCTCTTAAATCTTTATCTTTTGTGAATAGAAATTTTATCAATTCATTGATACGACAGTTTGATATATATTATTACTTAATTAATTAAATTTCTAAATTAATAGTTGCTTTCACATTTTCTAAATTCATTTGATTTCCTATATACTCGTCTAAATTATATAATTTAATTTGGATACATACAGAAAGAACTTCCTAAACGAAAGCAAAATAAAATCTGATTTACACACATGATTAACTGTAAATTGTGGTCCTTAATTACAAAGTATAATGAAAATACAGGTGAGATCCCCACCTAATTATAACGTTTGCAGGATTTAGTTTTTGGTCAACAATTCCATGCAGTAGGCCACAAGCTGCTTCTTTGGACCCAACACAGCTAAAAGCCCTGCAAGCCTCCAAGCAATTTTGTTTCAGGTATTGTCTAATAAACTTCATGACAAAATGGTTTAATTCGATGACCCAATTGAATGAGCTTATTATTTTTTATTATTTAAAAAACCTATAATTGTATGTGTAAAATTGATAGCATTACACAATAAATACAATAATAAATATACATATTTACTAATATGAGTTTTGTTTTTTTATAGGCTGAGACCGTTTTTTATAAATGTGTTTTGTTTTGCTAATAACACCTTTTGACCCACTATTTATTTCGTTTGTAGACAAATTTAAACACTTTAATTAGAATTTAAATTGGTCACGACTCACGGAAGAAGTTGTGTTCATATTCAACACCTTAGTATTTGTATTTGTTTTTGTTTATATTGTCATCGTTTTTTTTATTTATAAAAAAATAGAATTCAAATTTGGGCAAAATGCAGACATAAAAATGACAGAAAGCAGGCAAAAGGAGGAAATAAATTTTAAAAATGGAAAATCAACCTACTTACCCAAAAGGAAGGGAGAGATTTTTACCCAGAAAATTAGAACTGTGCAGTGAAACTGTACTTGCCCCATTTTTCAACCCACTGCTAATTTTTTTGGGTTCATGGAAGAGGGAGCGAATCTAAGGAGCTGACGTGGCAGTCAGAGATTCTTCCTATTGGAGACGAGAAAAACTAAACAAACATTAATCATTATAATTAATTTTAATTTAGTGAATTTTTTCCTTTAAAACATCAGTCCGTTATCACTTGGTCAATTAGCCCTAATTTTTAGGCACGTTAATTAACTATTTCCAGATATTTCAATAACCCAAAAATAACAAAAGAAGATAAAAATATTCCCATAAATTTATTTATCATTTTTTATTACTTTCTTTCCTGCTTTCTTTCTAACTATCACTGTATTTAATCCGCTGCTTGAACTGCAACAAAACCCTAACAAGGGTTCTTGCAGGAACCAATCGCCGCCCTATTGATCTCAGCCGTCAGTTACCCTTTGTTTCTCTATAACTCTCTTTGATCTTAGACACAACTCCTCAGCTCTCCCACTGATATTGTGTTCTGTATTTTTTTTCTTCTCAAACTTAAATCTTTTTGACTAAGCTCTTGTTTTTGTGCTGTTACATGGAGAACATGCTGGAAAAAAAGTGGTTTCAATAATTTTATGGGACTGAATTCAGGGAAAGATAATAACTTTATGAGCTCTGATTGTTGTTTTGGGGTATATATATTTTAGGTGAGGCATGAAGTGGCTTGGGAGAAATTTTGGGTTTTGATCAGTTTAAAGTTAGCAACTTTGAGGTTGTAAATATGGGGCTTTTAGGTTAAAGTCTTGATTTTGGGATTGTTGTAGGGGTTTAGGGTTAGGTTACTGCTAGTGGGTAGTGATCAATTTGAGTTTTTGGAAGAGGGTTGATTGTAGGTTAGTGTTTTTCGTCGAGAATGTTGTCTGAAATAGGAAGAAGACCAATGCTTGCAGGTAACGAGGGGTCCTTTGGTGACGAATTTGAGAAGGAGATAGGTATGTTACTCAGGGAGCAGCGCAGGCAAGAGGTTGATGATCGTGAAAGCGAGCTGAATATATTTAGAAGTGGATCAGCACCTCCAACTGTGGAGGGTTCTTTGAATGCAGTGGGAGGGTTGTTTGCTGCTGGTGGCGATGCCGGTGGTGGTGGTGGCGGTGGTGCCGCCGCCTTTTCGGATTTTCCTGGAGCTAAAAATGGGTTTGCGTCTGAAGAGGAGCTTAGGTCCGATCCTGCTTATCTCCAATACTATTACTCGAATGTGAATCTGAATCCGCGGCTTCCACCTCCATTGCTGTCAAAGGAGGATTGGAGGTTTGCGCAGAGGATGAAAGGAGGAGGGAGTTCTGTATTGGGTGGAATTGGAGACAGGAGGAAAGTGAATAGGGCTGATGATGCTAGTCAAAGATCGTTGTTTTCGATGCCGCCAGGTTTTAACTCGAGGAAACAAGAGAGCGAGGTTGAGCCGGACAAAGTACGTGGCTCAGCAGAGTGGGGTGTTGATGGACTGATTGGTTTGCCAGGTTTAGGACTTGGTAACAAACAAAAGAGCCTAGCTGAAATCTTTCAGGTGATTTGTTTCTATGGTTGCGTTTGATGTTCGATTTGGTACACGTGTAACTGAAGTTCGTGCTTTCTTAATGTTTGCTTGCATTTGTTGATAACGCTTTGAGTATCACTTAATATTTGTTCCTTGAATTGTCTGTTCTTACATTTATGCTTCCCATTGATATTTGAGAGTGACATAATGTATAGCTTAGGAGAATATTGATTCATGGGATAGAAAATATGAGTATTTGATTCCTGTATTTAGAATGCAAATGTGTGCCTTGCCCTTTTGGCTTGGACCAAATGTCCTCATCCTGAATGCTACCTTTTACGTTTATGTTAACATCTTGATTGTGTACCTACAGCTGGTCCACTCTTTCAGATATTGGATATTGAGGAGGTTTTCTACTTAGGACAATTAGTCAGTCATAATCAAACTCTCGATAGGAACTCACTTTGAGAACTTTGAAAGTCCAATCCATCCTTTAGAAGCTTTTAAAAAACAGGGAAATTTTTAACTGCATCTAATCTTGTTTAGTTTTCCCTTCTTTCTGATGGCTGTAAGTAGCACCAAGTTGTTCAGCTTAACAGTCCTCTTCATGATTGCATTGGTCATCTTGGTTATGGCTGCACGTCTGTAGTCATACTAGCTTGGAGTGCATTTGTTTTCTTTTATTGGTCTGATTCCTGGGATAGGTTGCCAGCCCTCGTAGTTTCTAATACAATCTAATGTTTTGCAACTACCCTTCTTGCCTTACATCTCTCTTCAGCTATAGTTTCCAGGTTATCATGCTATTCTTTAGTTGACCAAAGTAATGCTCCACAGAGCATAGCAGTACCACCAGTATCAGTGAATTTGGATAATCCTCCTTGCTTCTTGCATTTAACTCAAATGAGTGAACTTGATGAGTATGGTTACACCCTTTTTTTTCAATTCTGATTGAATACAAATTGGTTATGCCATCACAGGTACACCGTAATTTTTTTTTTTCTCAGTAGTATGGTTGAATATGATCCGGATAATTTTCAGTCCATACCATACACTTGTTTGGCAACTCAAAATCAGAGTTGTAATTAGCACTGCACAGAAAAGCTCTTATTTAGATACTTTATTCTTAAATTCTAAAGCTATCAAGATAACATCTTTTATGCATTCATAATTTAGATTCCTATATATGTTTAAACCATTTTTTCTTTATATCTTTCTGTATCAAGAGTACCTATAAAGTTTTATAGTTGTATGGTTCCTCATTTTTGGTTCACAACTGTTGTGCTGGTGCACAATCATTAGTTTGATCTGTTTACTATATTTTATTTGCTGACTAGTTAAAATTTTTGTTGTTCAGGATGACTTGGGGCGTGCATCTCCTGTTTCTGGGCTTCCTTCTCGTCCAGCCAGCCGTAATGCATTTGATGAAAATGTAGATGCTGTAGGTTCTGCTGAAGCTGATCCAGCTCATTTGCGCCGTGACGTGATGGCTTCTGATGGTCTCCGATCTAGTGCAAATGGTCAGGGCTCATCTGCAGCCCAAAGTATGGGCCCACCTTCTTCTTACTCGTATGCTGCAGCTCTAGGTGCTTCATTGTCAAGAAGCACCACTCCTGATCCTCAACTTGTTGCTAGGGCTCCTAGTCCTTGTCTTACACCAATTGGAGGAGGAAGAGTTGGTACTTCAGAAAAGAGAGGCATTAGTAGTCCGAGCTCCTTCAATGCTGTCTCATCTGGCATCAATGAGTCTGGAGATCTGGCGGGGGCTTTTTCCAGCATGAACTTGTCTGCAAATGGAGTAATAGATGATGAAAACCATTTGCCATCACAGATCAAACAAGATGTTGATGATCACCAGAATTATCTCTTTGGTTTGCAAGGTGGTGAGAGTCATGCCAGGCAACTTGCATACCTAAAGAAGTCTGAATCTGGGCATATGCATATGCCATCTGTTCCACACTCAGCAAAAGGTTCATACTCGGATTTGGGTAAGAGCAATGGTGGTGGGCCGGATTTTAGTAACTCATCGTCTGATAGGCAAGTTGAACTACAAAAAGCTGCAGTTTCTTCTAATAACTTGTATTTAAAAGGATCCCCCACATCCAATCATAATGGTGGTGGCAGCTTGCATCCTCAGTATCAGCAAGTAGATACTGCAAATTCGTCATTTTCAAACTATGGTCTAAGTGGGTATTCTATGAATCCTGCATTGGCATCCATGGTGGCTAGCCAACTTGGCACTGGTAATCTTCCACCCTTGTTCGAATCAGCTATGGGATCCCCTGGGATGGATTCAAGAGTGCTTGGAGGAGGTATGGCTTCTGGACCAAACCTAGCAGCTGCTGCATCTGAATCACATAATCTTGGTAGATTAGGGAGTCCAATTGCAGGGAGTGGTCTTCAAGCTCCTTTTGTTGATCCTATGTATCTTCAATACTTGAGGACATCTGAGTATGCTGCAGCACAGCTTGCTGCTCTTAATGACCCCTCCGTGGATAGGAACTACTTAGGTAATTCATACATGAATTTACTTGAACTTCAAAAGGCGTATCTTGGAGCCTTGCTTTCACCACAGAAGTCACAGTATGGTGTTCCTTTGGGGGGCAAGTCTGCTGGTTCTAATCATCATGGTTATTATGGGAATCCTGCATTTGGTGTAGGCATGTCTTATCCTGGAAGTCCCATGGCAAGTCCGGTTATTCCTAACTCTCCAGTTGGACCAGGTAGTCCTATGAGGCACAATGAGCTTAATATGTGTTTTCCTTCTGGGATGAGGAATTTGGCTGGGGGTGTCATGGGACCCTGGCACCTTGATGGTGGTGGCTGTAACATAGATGAAAGCTTTGCATCTTCACTCTTAGAAGAGTTTAAGAGCAATAAAGCAAAGTCTTTTGAACTTTCAGAAATTGGTGGACATGTTGTGGAATTCAGGTATCAAATCCTTATAAGTTTTCTTGTCATTCATCTTTATGATTTTATCATAAGTTGGTTATTATAATTTTGCATTTGTATGTGCAGTGCGGATCAGTATGGGAGTCGGTTTATTCAACAAAAACTTGAGACAGCCACTACAGAAGAGAAAAACATGGTTTATCAAGAAATTATGCCTCAAGCGCTTGCTCTAATGACTGATGTGTTTGGTAATTATGTGATTCAAAAGGTAAATGATATTCGCTGGACACATGCTTTAGTTTGATTTCTACTTGTTAGTATATATTACATGGTAACAATTTGTGTTCGTTTTCAGTTTTTTGAGCACGGACTTCAATCTCAGAGAAGGGAATTGGCCAACAAGCTTTTTGGTCATGTACTGACACTTAGCCTTCAAATGTATGGTTGTCGGGTGATCCAGAAGGTACCAATAACTTGTGACTGGATTAACTTTTTCTGCTACTAGGTTGTGCCCTGTATTTCTTTGGAATATGGATATCTTTCGTTCATCTTTCAACATATGATTTGATTATTCAACCATTTGTTCTGGTAGTACTGCGAGAAACAATCCTAGTCTTTTTGGATGCTATAACCATTACTTCCATTATTATGCTTTTGTGCAGCAAGGGAGGCTTAATAATAACTGTATGCCAATGCTAATGACCTGATTTCCTTTTAACTTTAATGCTACTAGACTATAATTCATTTGTTTATCCAAGGATTGCTACAGTTGGTTCTAGCAGTAATATACTTTTATTATGTTCAGGCAATAGAAGTTGTTGATCTGGACCAAAAGATCAAAATGGTTGAAGAACTTGACGGTCATGTTATGCGCTGTGTACGTGATCAGAATGGGAACCATGTCATCCAGAAGTGTATTGAATGTGTTCCTGAAGATGCTATTCATTTTATTGTCTCAACGTTTTTTGATCAAGTTGTGACCCTTTCCACCCATCCATATGGTTGCCGTGTGATACAGGTTGAGATACATCTTTTTCTTTTCGTTCTTTGATTTTGATAACTTCTTCTGAACAAACAATTAATGTGTAATCCATAATAATGTTTGGGTATTTGGCAGAGAGTGCTTGAGCACTGCAATGATATGAATACACAGACTACAGTTATGGACGAGATATTGGGAGCTGTTAGCATGTTGGCACAAGATCAGTATGGCAATTATGTTGTTCAGGTTCATAATCTTTCCTAATTAATGGATTCTTCTGTGCTTAAACACTCACCTTGGTGAACTTTTATATTGGTAACGCTTGTCTTTTTATCAGTCAGCCAATTGACTTACTCCTAAATATCTATCTCTAATGCCTTTCTGCCTTCTGTTCCATTACCATATTCAATGATATATTTGCAACAAAATTTCTGCTCCTATGCCTTTTGTTTTTTGTTTTCACATGTCTGGTGATGCTCCTCTGTTTCTTGGTGTTTATATTCATAGAATGATTAATTACAAAACCTCGAATTTTTTTATTCTTGTTTTTTTTTCCCACTCTTTCTTGAGTTCGAAACTGCAACTCGTATTGTTTGTTTTAACATGTCAACATGTTATTCGTACTTAAGTCACTTATTTCTGTCATGAAGACCACAGGGTTGGAAATTTTTTCGTGGTTTAGCAGTTTTTAGTATTTGAAACATTTAAACCACCTTTTAGATGTTCATTTGTCCAGCTAGCCCAAGAACGTGAAGAGCAATTATTCTAGTACAGTTAGATTGATGTGTTTGAGATTAGACCATGTGCTTGTTTCTTTGATCTTCTGGGTAGGGCAGCAATTGAGCTGAGATAATCTTTGCCTAGCTTGAGCTTGTTTTAATTTTACAGAAGCTCAAGATTTCAGTTTAGCTTAAAAACTACTTTTTATTGAATTCGAGCTGAGCTAGAATTTTATTCATGCTCAAAGGATATTGCACGTGCTTGCTTATCATGGATATTGATTATTAAGTTTTCTTAATGGAAAACCTAAACAATCCCCTTGGCTAGGTCAAGCTTTGAGCTGCTTGCGGACTACTTGGCTCACTTGCAAGCCTAGTTCTAGGGCTCTTATCACTTTTTTTATTGCTATATATTTCAGTTTTTCATGAAAACACGAGAATACTTTCTTTTTGTGCTGTGTTATTACTTCTCAACCGAGTTTTTCATTATTGAAAAGAAAAGAACTGGGGTTTTCATCCAGTTTTGATTTATATGTACATGTAGACTTTTAATTATTCTTTGGTCATCTGCTTGCCGTATTTTTTAAACAGCATGTCCTCGAGCATGGAAAACCTCATGAGCGTTCTGCTATCATAAAAGAATTAGCTGGGAAGATAGTCCAAATGAGTCAACAGAAGTTTGCCTCCAATGTAGTTGAGAAGTGTTTAACTTTTGGCGGTCCTGCTGAACGTGAATTACTAGTGAATGAGATGCTTGGCACTACCGATGAAAACGAGCCTCTTCAGGTTTGTCATATCTCTATGTGCTTATTACACACTTTAATTTATTGGAAATAAAGTCATGGACTCATTGTTTTTCTGATAAGTGTAATCATAACAAGCAGGCATATGTAGAGGCATTGTTTTTGGTGGAACATGATTATTTTTTTGGTCTGAGGGTGGGATTTTTTTGGTGGGACAGGATACATGTTTTACATTTGTATACGTTATCATCCTAGGGATCCCTTGGTATGGATTAGACCTTTTGTGCTTCATAACCAATGTGTATTAGCACTTCCTTTGGTTCCATCAAATGGATTGGAAGCAATTTTAGATTATGTTCTTGACATTTGTATATCAGCCGTTGCACGCAGGTGTTGCAATAAGGACCCAAGTTAAGAGCTTGGATTATAGCCCTTAAATGATGAAAGTTAGTGATCATTTTGTGGGGATTACAGTGACCTATGTTTCTTCATTCTTACCTATTGTTTTTGTGGATATTGCGGCTTCAGATGTTTTGAAATCCTTATGCATGAATATATGTGATATCATTATTCTTTCCGCATGTCTTATATATGTATTCTCCCATCCTCAACATATTGTCCACTTATTTAGTTTGACTGAGTGCTTGTACATACAGGCAATGATGAAGGATCAATTTGCGAACTATGTTGTACAAAAAGTGTTGGAGACTTGTGATGACCAACAACGTGAACTGATTCTTTCGCGAATTAAAGTTCATTTGAATGCATTGAAGAAATACACTTATGGGAAGCATATTGTTGCTCGTGTAGAAAAACTTGTTGCTGCCGGGGGTACTCATTCTTCTTTTTGCCTTCTCATTTTTATACATCTATGTCTGTAAACTGCATATGCTCATGACTTACACACACACACACACACACATATTAATGAGTATTGCTGTATGACTGAATGTACAAATATCTGTATGTATCTTTGGATGCCAATTTTTTAATTTATAATTGGGGTGATTTTCCTGGCTTTTATGCTTGGTACGAGATCATGCTTCGTTTATCTGGCATGCAAGCCATTGAGTGTTATTCCTGGCTTTTGTTTTTCTTTTGTTTTACTCTTTGCCTTTTACAGAAGTACAAGTTTCAGCCCTATAACACATTTTGCTATATGAATGTGCGACCAAACTTAACAAACTGAAAGGACCGCTTTATCATTCTGTGGTTGCATTCATCTATGTCCTTGATTTTTCCTGATTGTTTGTTTACCTTAGTAAAGACACATCTCCCTGCAATATGTAGTACATTATCTTAATACATAGTACATAGTTATAGTTAATTAACTTCCAAAATAGCATATATGGCATGATTCATTCTTTAGAGATACCTTTCTTACTGGGTACTTTGATGCGTGCAGAAAGGAGAATTGCTGCTCAGTCATCGCACCCTGCTTAGGTGGTGTAGGAAAGAAAGTTGTTTGTACAGCTAACTGAGGCTAGTGTGTGTTTCCCTCTCTTTGTCGTCGTCTTTCTCCCTCGTATCTATATCTATGACTGGCACTGCCTATCTTTGAAAGAAGGGTATGAGGCAGATTGAAAATAAAGTTGTTGCTTGTACTGGAAAACTGTACATTGTGTAGTTTAAAGTTTATACATAGAGTCGAGCTAGCTGAGGTTCAGATGTTGAACACACCTGATGCCCCTGCAGAGGAGATAAATGACTATACAAGTTTTTTAAGGGTGTAAAAATGATTAATGGTGAGGTAGTTTATATGTCGACGTGACTGTACAAATGTTGCCATGTGGAGAGCTGTTCATGATTAGGCGAGGCCGCAGTTTTTTTAAATGTATGGTAATGACTTTGTTTTTTCTGAGTCACATAAAGTACAGTTTTCTATGGAAGTATATTGTTCAAGGCTATATATCTAATGTATTTATTGCTGATTTCTCTGCATCACAAGCTCCTTAACCCTTTATCTGGGTAGTGAATTTTTGTCTATCCCTCCCGTAAATGGAAAGCAGCTCCAAAAACTCAAAAGCTATAATTTTGGTTCATTTTGACAACTGCCAATTTTTGAAACATTAACTCCCAAGTTGAAATGTTCAACTTCTGGGAAGATTTTATGTCTTTGTAAAAATGTGAGAAAAGGACGGATGTGGGAGGGAGGAGGGATCTCTGTTGTCTTTATATTATGCTTAAAAATGATTATAAAACTTGTGAAAACGACGGTGTCTGTTCTGATAATATTTTGTCAGCATGTACCAAAGCGTGAAGCCAGTTGTGCTGCTTTCATATACTCTCATAGACACTTTAGAGCCAGTTATTGTAGCCCAAGCCCTAAACCCTAAAACCTTGATGTCTAAAGTTTATACATCAAGTTTGCTTTACTAAACGAGGGTTCGACCCCTAAACCTATGCTTTGCGGCTCTCAACCGAACGCTGGAATGGCCTCATAAACTAACCTTTACATGTTTCCACATCAATAAATTACAAGATCAATGAATCCTCTCCTCCCACCCTCTGTTCGCCTCCTCGTCCTCCCATGTGCTCCATTCCGTCAACCTCCAAGAGCCCGACGAGTCCCTCATCCTCCGCTGGCACCATGGCGACCCCCTCCTCCCTAGAAAGGCCACCGCCATCGCATGTGTGGATGACATGTCGCACGTTCTCACCATTGATTTGACCACCCACGAGCAGTCAACCCTCCCATTCCAAAAATTGAAAAACCGGAATCGTGGTTAGATTATGATTAATAAATTACAAAATCGAATCTTACCGATTGATACAATGGGGCTAAATGATATATGGAGTTGCCATTGTATTGTGTGATTGTCAACCGTTGATAAATATAATAGAGTTTGCATGCATCTACGGTACAGTTGGCAGTGACTAATAAGTATTGGTAGAATTTTGTATCCATCTAACACATACATAACATTTCCTCATGCATCAGATTAAGAGACAGGCTTTAGGCTTTAGGGTAGAACTCACTATTTACAGCATCTAATTAAAGGTTGATAAAAAATGAAACCATTCAAGGTCTGCTGCCAATAAATTTAAAATCTACATGCATCGAGTTCAAGGGAATGTGCCTCTTTGATCATCACTCATGCTATTTCCAAGTGGAAGACAGTCACCAACAAACCACTGAACACTTCATAAATTACATTTTATAAGACTTACTTACCCAAAAAAAAATAAAATCAAAAGAGCAATTGCATTTCAGTCATCATCATCATCATCATCAATAGTAATCTTTTGCCCAAATCCTTTAGGCCCAGCCCTTGCTCTCACCCTCCTCTTCTTTCCACTCTTCTTCTTGTTAGTTGCCTCATCTTTCTCAAGCTTCTCTCTCTCCCTCTTCTGCAGAAAATCTGTCACACCTAGGTAGATAACCTGAATCCAATACAACCCAAATTTAGCAAAACCTACTTCCCAATACCATAAATTTAGTAACTTAAACAAATTGGAATTCAAAAAGGAACATGGGTTCTTGAGTTTACCCCAATGGTGAGAACAGATAGACCAACAAAGGCAATGAAAAGAAGAACAGAGATGGTGATAGAAACACCATCCTCATCACCAGTGGGCACTATCTGCTGGGAAGTCTCAAGTGGGATGGCTTCTGCAGGCACAGCTTCACCAGAGGTTGCATAGATTTGCCAAATTGGGGTGCTTCTTTGGGTGAAATTATCATGTGGGTTGTGGAAAATTATGCTCTTTTTGGTTGGTGAAGCAAAAGGCAAACATGGTTTCTGGGTTCTTAGAAATTGACAATGGCTTGGCTTGAGAAAATGGGAAAAAGTTGGTGGGGATAGAGATATGGATGTGGTAGCCATGCCCATTTGCTACCACTTCTCTCTGCTGCTGTGGCAAAAACAGCCTCAGTAAATGAGGGGGATGAGGGGAAACTCTATGGTACTAATCCATCACACCATAGTAATGTGTTTGGAAATTTCTATTGGGATGGTGCTTGAAAGCAAACGCCTAAATGCTCCCTTTTGACCCAAAAAGAAAAAGACCTAAATGCTCTCTGGCCCATGGGTGGGCTTTTGGACTAGAAATGGTTAGACAGGAAATATGCTATATCAGGATAGGCATAAAGCCCATTAGGCCTAGAACAATGTCAAAACTCCCCTATGCCTAATAAACACCACAAGCCTAACCCAACCTTTGTAAAATAATAGTGATTTTTTTTCTCTTATTCTTATTCAACAACTTTCATTCATGAGACTTGAATTTGGGCCATTCTTATCAATGAAGTGTTTATTGGATTGACTTAGACATTTGGTGTGTTTCTAAGTGGTCTTGGATTAAAACCCCCATGGTATCGTGTGTGAGTTTCCCCCTCCCCCTTCCCCGCCTATAGTAGAAAAAAGAAAAAAAAAAACTTAGGCCATTCTTTGATAGTTCATTAGGAGGTGCAACATGAGTCACCTTCAGAATGACATTTCCTTACTCAACCAAAACTTTGAATATGTATGAGTGCTTGAGGTTAGATTGACAAATTAGTATTGGATCAAATTCTGGTTAAGTTCAAATTAGGACTTCAATTGGTAAAATTTTATTCAAAGTCGCTCAAATTTCTCATTTTAAACCTACATAAAAGATATTATTGACATTCCAAAAAAATCATAACATGTTCTTTTAAAAACACATACGATCAAATTCAAGTTAGGTTTTGAGGACCTTCTGTAAGTACTTGGTTTTTCGCCGGGCCTTGAATTCTTGTGCCATCATCACCATCAACCTCGACCAAGAAAATAAAAAATCACCATCACCCTCACAAAAAGTACAGATATTCCACATAAAATAAAAGATTACATCCAGCTGTTCACCAACATCTCTCTTTTCCCATTGGTCCACCTACCTTTCAACCATACCATATAAAATGCTCCACACCTCAATTAAAAAGATACAAAAAGACCCTAAATGCAAAAGTCGGTTCTTTAATAATTTAATCGATTCATACTTTAATTACTAAAACACCCTTAAAAAGCGCAAGCACTTTGCCAACTTGGCACTTCCACCAAAAGACTCTTTCAGAAGCCTCCAACCGTGAGGTCTATTCTGGTAATTTCCAATTGGGATAAAACCACACCAAAACTCGAACACGAGTGCACAATCTGCGCACGTGTTTAAACGGTGCAGCGAGTAAGCTGCGAAATCTGAGGGAGCAAGTGGGGAAGTAAACCCAAAGGATGAGATATTTGGAAGATCAAAAATATCTGGCTAAAGTCGTCCACGTCGGCACAAGATGGAATCAGATATTGCACTTTTACCATCAAAAAAGCGCAAAAATAAAGAAAAAAAGAAATTTTCTTTTCTTTTTTATAATTTTCCCTCGTTTTCTCACTTCCCAAACACCCCTCCGAGTCTCCCGAATTATATATCTGCTTCTTCTTCTCAATAGTCTTCGTTTCTTTCCTGATTTTTCTCCCAATCCGATCCGATCCCGACACGAACAATTCGACCTCGCTGATGACAAGAACCTAAAAAAAGCAACCCAAAAAAGAAAAGAAAAAAAAAAAGAAAAAAAAGAAGAAGATAGAGAGAGAGCTTGAGCTGTTGTTGCAATGGGTGAAGAGGTGAGGATGAGCGAGTACGAAGGCGGTGGCAGTGGCGGCGACGACGAGACGCGAGTTTTCGAGTGGGAGGCGGGGCTGCCGAGCGCCGACGATCTCACGCCGTTATCTCAGCCGTTGATCCCAATCGAGCTCGCTTCGGCCTTCAGCATCTCGCCGGAGCCGTGCCGTACAGCCGTCGACGTCAACCGCGCGTCGCAGAAGACGGTATCGACGCTCCGCGGCGCCGCTCACTCTCAGGGCTTCTCTTCGAACTACAAGTCGTTTGACGAGAACCGCAGCGACGACGTCGAGCCGATGGTCGTCGAGGTCGACGAGAACGACCGGTACGGCAACGCCGGATCCGATTCGAGAAATTCGCGGAAGATTGATTGTACGGAGGAGGCCGATTCGGCGCTGAGGACCGAGAATTTCTCGGCCGACGACACGTCGGCGCGGACGCTGAAGCGGCCGAGGCTCGTGTGGACCCCGCAGCTGCACAAGCGGTTCGTGGACGTGGTGGCCCACCTGGGGATCAAGAACGCGGTGCCCAAAACGATTATGCAGCTGATGAACGTTGAAGGCTTGACCCGAGAAAATGTGGCGAGCCACTTGCAGAAGTATCGGCTCTACTTGAAGAGGATGCAGGGGTTATCGGGCGACGTCGGGCCGTCGTCTTCGGACCAGCTTTTCGCGTCGACGCCGGTGCCGCAGAGCTTGCAGCAAGAGTCGGGTGGCGGGTCGGGTCAGGCGGGTCAGAGCCACGGGCATGGAAATGGGCAGTTTTCGTTTTCTATGCCTTACCCGCCTACCATGATGTCCATGCCGGTTCTCGGGTTGACCCACGGGCACGGGCACATGGGCATGCCGGGTGGTGGGTACCATGGGTTCGAGTCGCACCATTACAACATGGGTTCGATGGTTTCGTATCCACATGGTGCTCCAAATGACAAATGAGAAATCTTTACACATTAAATTGAGGTGAGTGAGTTTTCTTGACCTTACACTGAATTTAATTTAATTTTTAGCTTTAATTGCGGTTTTATTTTATTGGATTGTTGTTCTGGCTCTGTGCTGGGAAACTAGAATTTGATTTGTATGATTTGCTTAGTTTATTTGACTGGTTGTTGCTTACCATATTATATTGTGGTTCCTTAGTAGAATTTGCTGGCATGTTTATGTACCCAAAGTAACAGGGCATCTTGGAAACTAGTTTTATTCCCTGAAGTTGATTAGTCTTCTTCAGGTACAGAATGGAGACAGTGTGTACCCGTGTGAATTTCCTCTGTGAAGTTCTAATTCTATTTGACACCACTGGTCTTACCATGTAGACTGCACTGTAGTTAAGTTTACTATGGTCTTGCCATGGAGAAATAATGGAACTCTAGCTCTAAAGCTTGCTCTTCTTTATCAAGGCTTTATAGCAGCTTCTGGGGTTTGTTGTAGTTGCTGTTAGTTTGTGTATATGATGCAGTTCTCTATTGATAACTGCTCAAGAATTTCGGATTATTCATCTTATGTTTCTGTGTAGATTCAGAAGTTTCAGCAAGTTGGTTGAAGCTAACTCTTGGAACTCAACCTGTAAGCTTGCTTGATTGGTAATGTTGAACCTGACAGGCATGGGAAGGGTTCTTAGGAATTATGTGGAGACACTTTAGAGGTACCGTATATGGGTTTTGAATGAATCAGCCAATGTAACAAAATCTCCCTCATTAAATGCATGTATTCCCAGTTACCTAACAGCAGGAGGTTCGTTCCTAGTCTACATAGTTGACACTGAGGCATCGAGTACATTCTTAACCTGTTTCTAGTTATTATATTCTTTTTGTATCAATAAGGTATTAAGCCTTTTGTAACCGAGAAAATAAGGTATTGAGCCTTTTCTTTCCAGAATCAATGGAAAAAAGTCGATCTAAATATAGAAATGTCAGTTAGCTGTCCTTCATTGCGATATTGAATGCTTTTATCACCTTGTCACCTCCTATGTCATGTATGGAGATTCCTATATGTTTATGCAAATATGAATGTGGATTTGTTACAACAATAATTTTGCAATTGCTTCCATCAACCTTTTAAGAGTGTTCTCCTTTGTCTGCTGCTCTTCAGAATAATGAAACTGTAATAATTTCTTGTACAGATTTTGGTGAGAACAAGTCCCTTATGTTCTCATTATTATTTGTAAGGTTCCTTTCTGATCTACAAGAGTTATTTGTGCATTGTTTAGTAATGCTAGAGAAAATTTATGGCCATTTTTTGTAACTCGGTGGATGTTGAGGCGATTAAAATTTCAAATTCATCTGTATTCTGTCATCTTTAACTATAAGATTCATCTGTATGGTTTAGCATCTGCATTCTGTCATCTTTAACTATATGATTCATCTCATCTGTTGCTAGTACATAGTATGAGGGGAAGTTTTAAGACGCCTAAAAGCCTAAAGAAGAGCAATGAGGCCCCATATGTATACAAGTTAAGGAAATTCGTCTAACCTTTCCAAAATTTAAGGGGCCTTGTTCGTATACGTCATTAGCAGTTACCACAGTTTTGTCAAGACAAGTTATTGCAGGAGTAGAGGATGACAGGAATGGATGTAGATGATCTAAAGAACTTGGGCAAAGGGTGAAAGACTGAAGAAGCTTTACCTAAGTACTTTTACTAGAAAGCTATGTTCAAACACTTTTAGGTGAAAATGTCTTTTACCTCAGTGGACCATATACATTCTGCTCTACTCTTTTGTTATAATAGTGTTGCGACAGTTTTTTTTAAAATTTACATTTGTTGCATAACGGTGCCTGTAGTTCATTTGGGATACATGGTTTCTTTGTAGCTTCAGGTTAGGATATTTTCCTTGGACTTCAAATTGATGTCATTACATCACTTGCAGATTGTTCAGATGGACTTCATCCGAAAAAGCCGTGTCCTCTCCAACAGGAGTAAAGGCTGAATGGTTGATACCCATTCTTTTTTAAGGTTATGTTGTCAACTAAAATAATTAATACTGTACCTCTCTACAGATTGGAATTGAGCTCTATTTTATTTCATCATGTGAAATTGCTTGCTCTTGATTGAAAGCCTACTTCTTGTATACCGAACAAACTTGAGTGAGAATTAATAACATTCTAGCTTGATGTTATATCCCATAATTTCATTTTCACTGTCATCCGGCTTCACTTTCCTTCTCAATCTCACGGATCTTTTACTATTTGGTTAGATTATCATGTTGCTGTGCTCTGCTGCCATAAAAGTTCGATAATTTAAGCTTATGCAACAGCAAGTTTACAAAATCTTCCTTGAAAGGCCATTCTATAATATCAGGCAGCTTCCATCCAACTGCATCCTGGAAGTTTCCTTAACTTGTTTTTCTTCATCATTTTCTTCAACCTTGCAACATTCCCCCAACTGCCAGAATCAGCATACAGACTTGACAACAGCAGATTGTTACCTGCACTCTCCGGCTCTAGCTCCGACAAATGCTTCGCTGCTACTTCAGCAAGATCTATATTTCCATAATTCCGACATGCTCCCAGTAACGCTCCCCATACAAACAAATCTGGCTCCATAGGCATTGCCTTAATCATATCATAAGCCTCAGTGAGTTTCCCTGCTCGACCTAGAAGATCAACCATGCATGCATAATGTTCTAGTCTTGGCACAATCCAATACCTTTCCTGCATAAAATAGAACAAGCTTTCTCCAAGTTCGATCATTCCGGCATGACAACAAGCCGTGAGAACTGCCATGAAAGTCAGGTAATCGAGTTTCTTATCGTCTTCTATCTTCATCTGGTTGAAAAGCTCAATTGCTTCATCGCAATACCCGTGATTCGCATATCCAAAAATCATCGAATTCCATGTCACCGTGTTCTTTTGAGACATCTTGCAAAACAATGCCTTTGCTTCGTATATAAATCCGCATTTTGCGTACATGTCAACAAGAGCACTCCTCACATATACATCTTCTTCAACTCCTATCGCCAACGCGTAGGCATGAATCTCCTTCCCACGCTTCACATCCGTCACAGCTGCACAAGCAGGTAAGAGGCTACTAATAGTATTCGAAGTTGGACACAGTCCATGACTCAACATTTGCTTGAATGTATGAAAAGCTTTGTTGTTCTGAAAGTTCTGCACAAACCCAGATATAACCGAAGTCCAAGATACAACATCAGGCTCAATCCCGTTAACCCGCATTAGGTTAAAAATTCGATACGCCAATGCTTCATCGCCCTTCTGTGAAAACCCAGCAACCAAACTGTTCCAAGTTATCAAATTGGGCTTTAATCCCAGTAGCTGCATTTTCTCCACCAAACGCAATGCTTCTCTAGCCAAACCATGTTGAGCAAACCCCGAAACCATAGCATTCAAAGCCACCAAATCTTTCTCCACCATCATATCGAAAACTTGTTGTGCCTTCTTCACCTGCCCATTCTTTGAGTACATATCAATGAGCGCACTGCTAACAAAAGCATCAAATTCAAACGAGAAGCGGAGCACCACGGCGTGTATTTTCTCACCAGTTTTAAGATCAGAGACGTGTCCACATGCTTTGAGAACACTGGGGATAACAATCTTGTTGGGCCTAGAAACCTTTCTTTGCATCTCCCAGAACACATCGATTGCCTGCTGATAAAACCCACAACGAGCATAGGCTCCAATGAGAGCAAACCAGCGGCGTATGTTCGTTTGGGGAATTTTGTCGAACACTTTACGAGCATGGGCTATTTGGCCGCAGGCAGCGTACAAAGCGATGAGCTTGGAAGCGAAATGGGTCGAGCGAGCAGAGCCAATGGTGATTAAATGGGCGTGGAGTAGTCTCGCGGGGTGCAATTCTCGATCACGAGCGTAGGTTTCGATCAGCTTTGTGTAGTAATCAGGTGATGATTGAAATGGACGGTAGATGATGGGGTTGTTCTGGTGAGCCGCTGGGAGTACCTTGCCTTTGAAACGACGCATTGACATTGGAATAGCAACGGTAAAGCGCGGGAAAGAACACAAACACGTTTCACTCAGAAGATTGAAGTGAAGTAAGGTTAAATTACAATTCTCGTCCTTGTAATTTAGGCTATTTTTTATTATTTATTTAGGTCTTGTAATGTAAATTGATTTTAGAAACCGTTTTTATTTGAGTTATGACCAAATTCAGATTTCTGTTGTATTAATTGGCAAAACTCGCAAAAGTTGAACTCGAGATCACCACTTCTAAGAAAGTGAACAAGATTGACGAGTGTCGTTAGCCATTGATCCGAAATAAATAAATAAACTGAAGAAGAAAATTGTGACCTCAAAAGTAGCCTCTTCAATTGTGACAAGTGAAACATCAAAAGTACCACCACCAAGATCAAAGATGAGGGCATTGATCTTCTTAGCCGTAGTTTTCATACATAGCCACAACATGCAAACAGTGGCCATTATTGATGTAATAGCCTCCGTTACTGTACATCCGTGCCACCAAAGACATAGCCACGATCAATTTGTGGCTGGAAAATAATTAGATACGGATTTGGTGGCCAAAGGATACTTATTATTGATTTTATTTCTCAAAGTCACAGTCAAACCTTTGGCTAATCCGCGGCCAACACTCATTGGCCACAAGTTCTCTGTGGTAAGTCTAAGATTGGCCACGAGTGTATTCGTAGCTTATTATATGGAGCTTTCCTTGTAGTGTTAAATTAATAAATAACCATTTCAAAATGATAACCAAACCATATGATCATACGAGGAACAAACACTCAACGACATTCACATTAACATGGACTGTAAGAGCCGAATAGAATACCAATGGAGTGTTAGTTGGATTGGCCCAAACTTTTGGTGTGCTAAGTCATCCTAGGTTCAAGCCCCTGTAAACAAAAAACTAACTTGATTAAATTAATATACAAGTCAATGATGTAGGAATTCACTTGCTATTTTTGTCACTTTTTAAAAAATAGGAGCCAAATTGTCGTGTTGAGTCCAAACTCTCGTTTGGTACGGTGGACTGTCATGGACTGGACTAAATACTGGGACTGTCTTGGATTGGCTTGGCCTGGCATAAGCTGGATAAGACTTGTCCTGCGTTTGGTGTAATATCGGACTAAGAAGCTGGATAACGAAAATAGTACTATCCTGTGTTTGGTGTATACTTGGACTAGGACTAATTTTTTTTTTTTTTTTTTTTTTGAGGTGATATAATATTTTAATTAGAAATTATTTTTACGATAATTCCATAGCAAAAAAATTAGTATTAAATTTTCCAAAACTTTGGGAACATGCCTATATTTTGAGAATATTTCCCAGATGTGAAAGCTCAACTTCCCTAACACAAATTACCAAACCGTCACTAGGTAATTGCAAACACAACATGCAATAGCCATCACAGTTTGCGAAACCCAACTATCTGTTTGTCAATTGCCGAACCACTAGCCACATGACCTCTACACTTGGTTTTATGCTTCCTTTCTTCCTCCAAACATGGTGAGACAAGCTCCAAACCATCCCGACATCATAGCAAGCCAATTTTCATAACATAAAGTTCTACTTAATTCATTGTAAATATCCAACACCAAGTTCACAAAATAAGATGATCAATGGTGCATATACAACACCAAGTTCACAAAACAAGAAAATCAATGGTGCATATCCAACAACATTCACAAAATAAGATTATCCATAGTGGATTTCCAGCACAAAAATTACAAAAGAAAGTACACATGTTAGTGTTCACAAACTAAGACAAGTTACCATGACCATATGTAGTTTGTGACACAATTGTCATCCATAACCAAGACACCATAGAAGCACCATCATCCTCTAGCATGGTCATTAAGCAATTTTTGAACAAACACTTCTTTGACATCATCATCTAATGACTGAAACACTGCCACAGTTTGTGGTTTCTCCAAAATGAGAGTCAATGCATCAATTTGATCCATAGGAGAAAGACCCATGTCCTTGAGCATTTTGGCAATGTCACTACGATCTTCATTACCTTTCACTATTGCCTCAGTTACCATTTGCATTCTTTTTCCAGATTCTGCAAATAATTTTTCCAATGCATGTACTATCTTGTCGATTCCATCACTTGAATTTTCAGTTCCTCTTTTCCTCTTTCTTGCACTATTTTCAGAATGACTGCCACCTTGGGACATGGGAGATTCATTCTCAGCTGCAATGTCACTTGGATTAACCTCATTGTGGCTTTGCTCCTCCATCATCTCCACTGGGACCTCGGATCCTTTTCCAGTAGCACGGTCCTTTCCAAATATGTTAGCAAGTTTGTCATAAATTGGAAAAGATTTGCTTCTCCATCCCTCTGCTTCCTTGTTGTGCTATGATTAAACGAGACATGTATTAGTGTACACTTTCAACATGTTTCAATAATAAACAAATAAAGCATATGCATCCATGAACTCAAAGAAAGTAGAAAATTGAAATTGGTTGAACACATACATGCACATAAGTTTTCCAAGCATCATCACTATCGACTTCGATACACTTTTTGACATCATTCCATGCAAACCCACTAGTATTCGACATGTCATAAATTATGCTATATATTTTTTTTCCATTTCTTCAACTTTGACTCAATATGCGGATTTGCCTTTATATTTGAATTGGGACATAAGACATCCAAAACTTTCTCCATTTGTACCAATGTACCAGATTTGAAGCTACCCGTATCACATCGATGACCTCGAGTAACAAAATCCTCAAGGATAGTTAACAATGCATCTTCTTCAAATGGAAGCCATTTACGCCTCGTTCCTTTCTTCATTGATGATTCAGAATTATGAACAGTACCACTTTCCATTCCTATACAACCAATATTCCATGCTATGTTTATAAATAAGGCAAAACAAAAATATATATAAAAAGGGATCAATACATAACTAATAAATATCATCATGAACACAAGATTCAGCTTTCATATTGCATATTACATAACACATTATTATTCAGTTTTTCTAAAGAAAGACAAATAGAAAATCAATTCGACTTAAACAAATACAATGATAAAATGTTCAATTTATAATTAACAGAAAATACATATAGCAATAGCTCATAAACCAACAAATGTAGTCTGCAAGACTCTAACACAAGTATTCTGCAAGACTCTAACACAAATGACAATGGTTTTTTTAACTAGTGGTGCCTATTTATTCTCCACTCATTATACATTTGCAAGGCCATATCATTCCTCTTTGCAGTCCATTGGTCAGACGGTCCGATGGTGCCAAGCATATCATCTTCTACCATGTTTTCTCCATCTTCAAGTTCATTTATTTCATGCTCTATTGGATCTATGGACATCTCCCTCCTAATGAGATTATGTAGAAGGCAACAAGCGGTGATTATTCGACATTGGGTCTTTATTGGATAGAAAGATGGACTCCTAAGTATGCCCCACCTAACTTTTATCAAGCCAAAACAACGCTCTATAACGTTCCTCGCCGATGCATGCTTCATGTTAAAATATTCCTCATGGTTGGAAGGTGTATGTCCATCTCTCCATTCGGATAGGTGATACCTTGTTCCTCTATAGGGTGCAAGGAATCCTTCACCATTTGTGTAACCACCATCTACAAGGTAATAATATCCTAATAACCAAAAGGAAAATTCCTATTAGTATCTGCATGTATACATACAAAATCAAATATGCCTTGTAAATTTAAAACTAACTAATGCCTTACCATTGGGAACCTTTAACCCATTGGGTCTAGTTATGGCATCACGCAGCACCCTAGAGTCCGATGCGGAGCCCTCCCAACCTGGTAACACAAATATGAATTGCATATCTCTTGAACACACACCCAACACATTTGTTGCAATTTCACCTTTTCTTGTTCGGTATCTTGGCTTGTCAATTTCGGCTACACGCACTTTAATATAAGTCCCATCTAATGCTCCCAAGCAATTCTAAACAATAGAACTTGTTACTTTCATTAAGTTGCACAAAAGCAAGAGAATCACTAGTTAGACATTAGGATCATACCTTAAACCTTCTCCACCTAGAATCCTCACAATTATCAAGCACGGGATCCGGGACTTTTAGTAGGATGTCTTGTAATCGCAAAACTCCTTGCAAGACGGAATTAAAATACCTACTAATGGTCTCTCCTGACCGAAAAAATCTACTACCAATAGTACGGTTCTTAACATGCTGTGCAAGTACATGTAAGAACACACATACTTGCTCCTCCAAAGACACCAAACCATCATTTTTTACCCTTCCATCTTGGCGAAGTAAATCGCATAATAGACCAAAAGTCCTTCTATCCATTCTAAGTTCGTTGACACATTTTATATCACTACTTCCTATTAGACTATCAAGATAACGCAAACGAGTCTCACGTCTAACCAATGAATGATTATTCAAAGAGCACCTTTCAATATGTCTCCTTCTTGATTTAAGCATCATCAACACAAGAATAGTGCAAGCACACATTGTCTCTAAATGCCACAACTCCAACAATAAGATCAACAAAATCTTTCTTCGATCCATATCTAATAATTATTATACAAACAAAACAATCTTGGTTTAGCTAGTTGTGATATTAAAATAAAATGTACGTATAAAACATAAAAATAAAATCCAAGACAAAACCCATAACATTCATACAATCCAATTAATATGCTCATATAAATTTCATTAAAAAAAAACCTACACTAAACAATAACCAATAGCAAAGAACATATAGAAAAATTGAAAGAATTGCAGAAAAATGAGTAGAAAAACTTTAAAAAGACAAACCACCCATTGCTAACAATAAAGGCTGTAAAGCCTAGAGGCATGAGGCAAAAAAGAAATATGTCAAAGCTCTGTTTTGGTTCTGAGTTATCAGCTATTTGGGTCAAAAAAGACACACCAAAGCTTTGACATATTTATTTTCTTCCTGCATTCCTAATACCTCTTCCCCAATGCTTCCCCTTTCACAACAAAAGCAAAACAATGACCCATTTCTACTCCATATTAAACCCCCCAAAAAAAAATTCTAAAAACCTTGCATCTGTTTGTTATTCCAAGTTTTCTTCTTCTTCTTTAAAAAAAAAAATCTTCTATGTAAGAAGCATTCTTACTCTGTTCTTTAACCTATTTATTATAAAAATTTCACTTAATGGAAAATTTTCAATTCTTCACATAACCCAATCCTTGAACTAGCAGATCTAGCCATTATAATACGAATTACACAACCACTTTTAATTATCTCACTCAAAAGAACAAAGAAAAGATCTCAAGAAGGACCCAAAGAACGAAATATTCCATAACAAACAAAATTTGGCAGAAAACCTAAAAATAAAACAGAGAAAAATCTCAAAACATCTGCAGATTCATACCATAAACTAGAGAGAAGAGAAAGATTGGGTACAATATTCAATCAAGTTGAGAGAATAGGAAGATTCAGAGATAGAGAGAGTGGTGACCTGTTGAGAAGCAGTGAAAATTGACTTCAGTTCGCTTGGGAAGCACAAGACGATAACAAGCGATGAAAACACGCGAGCTCTAATTAGTGAGCGTACTAATTGTCCCCCCCTTCCACACGGGCTTAGCTAAGAACCCCTAAGAAGGTGTTTTTGGTGGGCCCAGCATTAGTAGTCCCCATTTAAAACTAGAACTAGGTCAACCAAACATGGGCCTAATTTTAATCTAGTCCAGTCCATGCCTGGGAGGTGTACCAAACGAGCCCCAAGAGTGCAAAGTGTTATTGACTTATATTTATATTCAAAAGGATACTAGATTACAGTTGAAGAGAAGAGATCCAACCTTTTCTAAATGTTTTTTTTTTTTGCTTTAACCTTTTCTATATGTTATTTGTAATTGTAATTGTAATTGATATTTTTATTGGATTTTTTTTGGCTTATTTACTGTTTCACCCCCTGAAACGGACGCTCGGTCTCACTTTACCCCCTTAAACTGAAATTTTCTCACTTAACTCCTTGAATCTCTAAAAATTGTTGAAATTTTTTCACTTTACCACTTCCGTCCATTTCCATCCGCAAAATTGTTAAGTGGGCTAACATGGCATGAACATTTTAGTAATTTTAGCTCGTTATCTTCTCTCTTCTCTCACTCCTTATGTCCCTCTGCCTCTCTCTTATCTCCCGTTCCGAACCCAACCTCCATCGCACCCCACCCGCACCCCTCCCCTCCTCCCCTCCTCCCTCTTCTATCTTCTCTTTTCTCTCTGCCTCTTTCTCCTCTATGCCTCTCTCTTCGCTCCCTAGACCCAACCCCAAGCGCACCTCCATCGCACCCCACCCACTCCCCTCCATTCGTCTCTCTTCTCTCCTTCCCCAACCCAACCCCCATCACACCCCACCCCTCCCCTTCTTCTTTCTTATATATACCGATCTCTCTCACTATCTCTGCCAATAGAGAAAATGGGGAGTGAGTGTCGAGGATATATATATAAATTTTGAGTGGTGGTGGTTTGGTGTGCTGAGTAATTCCATGAAGGGTTAGGTCTGGGGTGGGGGTTGGGTCTGGCACGGGGAGAGAAGAGAAGAGAGTGGCAAATAGGAGAAAGAGGCAGAGAGAAAGAGAAGAGGAAGGAGGGGTGGGGGTGGGGTGTGATGGAGGTTGGGTTCAAGAGGGGAGAGAAGAGAGGGGCAGATGGACATAGGGAGAAAGAAGAGAGAAGAGAAGGAGTTAAAATTACTAGAATGCTCATGCCACATCAATACACTTAAGGGTTTTGTGGATGAAAATGGATGAAAGTGGTAAAATGAGAAAATTTCAACAATTTTTAGAGATTTAGGCGGTTAAGTGAGAAATTTCAGTTTAAAGGGGTAAAGTGAGATCGAGTGTTTGTTTAAGAGGGTGAAATAGTAAATAAGCCTCTTTTTTTTTCTTTTTTTTTTTAATTTTTTATAAATGAAAAAGAGTTTAGAAGGAGGGGAGGGTACCCCATCCCAAGGTCAAGACATACCAAGGCCTCTTGGTCTTTCTAGTGAAAAGAACGATCCTTACCAACTCAATCAACTCATTGGCTTTATTGGAATTTAAAGGAGTTTTTTTTGGGGTTGGATTTTTATAAGGAGTTCAAAAATTGAGGTTTGTTCACAACTAAAATGGTTAGAGAATTTCACCAAAAAAAATGGTTAGAGAATTAGATTGAGAAGTAAAGAATAAAACATAGTTAATACAGGGACCACATACAAATGGAAAGATATTATGATTAGTTTAAAGCGGATAAGATCCTTTTTCATTTTATTTTATGTACAAAATATACTTCATGCCATATGAAAAAAAAAGGGTTAATTGTTGATTTGCCCCTCAACTTGTACCTAACTTTCGATTTATCCTTTATCCTTTTTTATAAGAAAATTAAGGACCTCAATTATTATTTTTAGCCAATTTCCCCCCTGCCATTAATTTTCCTCACATTCCATCCAATTTACCGTTAAAAATATCATGTGCCAAGCATATGAGGCTATTTAAGGGCAATTTGGTCATTTTTGCACCTTAACAATAATTAAAATTTTGAGACAAAAAACACAAAATGATAATAATTACGCTTATTATCACAAAAGGTCCCTAAGGTTTACGAAACTATCAGATTTCATCCTTAATGTTTTTTTGTGTCATTAGTGGTCCTGAAGAAGAAATCATCAAAACCCATCCACTTTGACTTTCACATAATACTAAAGGGTCAACTGTTGATTTACCCCCTAAATTTGTATTTAACTTTCGATTTATCCCATATCCTTTTTATTTTATAGAAACTTAAGGAACTCAATTATTAGTTTTAGCCAATTTCCCCATGATGTTAGTTTGCCTCGCGTTCCATCCAATTTACCGTTAAAAATATCATGTGCCAAGCATGTGAGGCTATTTAAGGGCAATTTGGTCATTTTTGCACCTTAACAATAATTAAAATTTTGAGACAAAAAACACAAAATGATAATAATTAAAAACACTTCAGTCACCTTTTTCCCATTTCCCCACTGTTGTTACAAACCCGGGAACCCCCACCCCCCCCAGGCTTTTCTCCATCCCTTTGCCCTTACTTCCCCTTTCCTGCACCCACCCTCCCCGTTGCTCCCTCCTTCCCATAACTTCTCAACACCCCAAACTGAGACCACCCACCCAGCCACCTCTTCCTCATTGTCACCCCCACCACCAAAATCAAACCCCCAACTTGTAATTAAACTCAATACAAAGTATACCCAACCATAAATCACAACAAAGATTCAGAAAAATACAAGCATTTCATAATCCACAACCACAACATCTCTCTCTCTCTCTCTCTCTCTCTCTCATGGGCATATCGGGTGGGGGTTGTTGGTTGAGTAGCATGACACAGATATTACACGATGTGGGTGTTGGGTGGACTAAGGAATTCAAGGGGTTAAGGTGGTTTTTTGGGAAAGATGGGTGCTGGAGTTGGGAGACTATGGTGGGTTGTTAGGGGATGATGGTGGGGGAGGCTAGGGATTAGTGGGAGCAAGATGGGGTTGGGAAATGTTTTTGTTTTGTTTTCTTTTTCTTTATTGTTTTATAACATTATTTTATAATTATTTAAGTGTCATATGCGTTGCATGTGACTATTCTTAACACTAATTGGATGAAATGTGAGTGTGAATTTAACGGTAGGGGGGAAATTGACTAAAAAAAATAATTGAGGTCCTTACTTTTGTAAAAAAAAAAAAAAAAAAAGGATAAATCGAAAGTTAGGTACAAGTTGATGGGTCAAATCAATAGTTAACCCAAAAAAATAATAATAAAAAATGGATCTAACGAAATCCGACCGTTGATTTTCTTTCATTTTTCTTTCTTGTCTTTGTCTTTTCATCCATTTTTCCAGGAGCTTCGAAGCTCAAAACAGAGCCACCAAAGAAATGCACACAACAAAAGCCAAACTCACAACCCTACTTCCAAAGCTAAACAAGTCCCAAAGACACTATTTTTAGGGACATGGAAGTAATAAACGCACTTCTCAGAAATTAGTGTTCTTCGAATATGCATGGATTGGCTCTGCCTCTAACACCACATCCACAGCCACACACCCTCTTCTTCTTCAACCTCTCTTCGACTTCAAGATCTCTGCTTTACCTGCAAAACCGACCCAAATCTTCGATACCCATTTTCAGAAAAGCTGACTTGAACCTCCTCGTGTTCTCTTCTCGGTCTTCCACTCCAAGTTTCTCCAATTTCAATAGGAAAAGAGGACGCTTTGTTACCCTTTTGAGAGCGAGCCGCAGAGAGTCTCCTTACCAAGTTTTGGGTGTGTCTCCTTCTGCAACTAACGATGAGATCAAAAGGGCTTATCGGAAACTTGCTCTTAAGTATCATCCTGATGTTAATAAGGAGGTGATTGATAGTTTCTGCACTCAACCCAATTTAGTTATGTGTGTTTTTGTTCTGTTGGTTATAGTTAGTTGTGGGATTGCTAGTGCTCTAGCTTCAAATTAAAGATTTTTAGTTTCTGGGTAGTTTTGTTTTCCTGATTTATTTATGTATGTATCCAATTCTTAAGTATTCAATTTGATTTTGTGTCATAGTTTGTTGTTCCATTAAATTTCCGCTTGCCAAGTTTGAAGAGTGTCGATTCATTGGAGGAGGCAGTTCCATTTCTTGTCGAGAAATGACTCCCCAAACAGGTGGTCCAAGGATGCTATTACCCAAATCAAATTTTGTGATTTTATGGTGCCAACTGTCTAAGCATGTATTTTGTCCTGCTAAAAGTGTGCTTTATGCTCTTCTAGATTTCCAATTACCCCGACCCCCTTTTGCAGTTTTGTATTGTCTGGTGGTTTAGGGGATATGAATTGGTTTTCTGAATCGTTTGTTTAGCCTATGCCTTCTCTCTAAAGTGGTTTGGCCTTCTTGTAATGGTTTCACTAGCCGTAACTCTTTCTTTTGTACAGGCAAATGCGCAGGAGAAATTTATGAGGATTAAACATGCCTATAATACATTGTTGAGTTCTAAATCTCGGGGAAAATATGACTCGAATTTCGGATCTGACTATTCCTATTCTTCTTCTGACTATTCCTATTCTTCTTCTCAAAGAAGCCAAAGTAAGAACTCTCAAGATGAAGAAGAGTTTTATGGATTCGGTAAGAACTTAGTAAACTCAAGTATACAAAGAAACCTTTCTGCTCTTCTACAGAACTTTTTGCACTCTGAATCAGTCTAGTCCAATGCTAAATATGTTTCAATGGCGTGTATGATAACCCTCTTGGATAAAGATGACATGCTGCCTGTGGCGTTGGAGTATCAGTCATGACAATTTTTGTTTTATCTTTTTATTTTTTTGATGAGTAATCAGGCAACATGCAGTTACTTGAAACCTTTACTGAAGGATCTTTTGGTCCAATTGACCATTCCAATTTTCAACTGATTATCCAAATAACTGTCTTCTTCAGACACTGATGAATAAAGTGTCTAGATAAACCAAGAGATAGCTTGGACCAATCTGTTAGGTATATTTTAGCACGTTCTTATTCTTAAGCCCTTCGTTGTGCAGGTAATTTTTTGAGGGATGTTCAAATAACAATAGGTAGATTTGTCCTCTC